GTTAACTGGTGACGCATATCTTTGGACGGTGGGAGGAATCCGGGGAACCAGAGGAAACCCAGGCGAACATGGGAAGAACATGCAAACTCCGCACAACAACGCCAACCAGCCCAGCAAGGACCGGAACCAGCAACGATTATGCTGTGAAGTAACAGTGTTAACCACTGGACCGCCGGGCCACCCAATATAGGAAAAAAAGGAGGAGGAATAGGGGAGGATGGGGATTCTTCAAAACGAAGATGAATGTGGTATGAAGACTATGGGTATTTATAGTGACTTAGGAATCATCTGATTGGAGAATCATGTATTAGCTAATGTGTGTCCAGCCATTATCAAATATAAGCACATGCTCCTCTCGAAATTAGTTTATAAATAAACTTCACTTAAATGAGTTATTAAAATATAATAATATTCAATTAATTTCTTAAACTCGAGCAAATAAAGTCATTTTAAATATATAACACTGCAATAGTATAATTTACAACTACAAGTTCTTCGAATGATCTCTGCCTGTTCCTGGAAGTTTAAAGGTGTATGCAGTGTTTGCTCATTTACACGCATTGAGACTGCCAACAACCGTATCATGATCGTGTATAAAAGATCACGCTTGGCTCTGAAACCAGCTGCAGATATATTTACACAGTGATCATATCAAGACATCAAATTCCTCCTTATGAATCTTCTCACCAAAGCATGCAGACGTTTCTGGGTCCTCGGGTGCTCGATAAAAGCCATCATTACAGGAGCAGCGTGTGGCACCAGGGCCTGAGGGCTCCGTGTTTTTTGGGCAGGGTTTACAGGCCTCACTGGACACCGATGGTTTGAAGAAGCCTGGCTGACATTCTGCATTGGGAAAACACACACACACACACACACATATGACGATGAGTTGGATGAGGATGAGAGGAAGCGGTGCAATTAAACTGCTCACAGCGCATATGTCAAGTGATCGTCTATGTATGAACACAGTAAATTAACCCCCTTTGAAGATGTTTTTTTTTTTCTCTCGACAACTTTTTTTTTTCGAGGCTCTGTGCAAGAGTGCACAAAGTTGACAGAGCAAGACTAAGCACACTCCTACTCATCCTAAGTGAAGCAACCATCCCCCTCTGATTCTCCAAAAACAGGACCAGTCGCCCTGCATTCCAGCACGGTTCCTGTGCTCTCAACACTCCAGCAGAGAAAACACCACAAAAACCAATAGAAAAGCTGCACGCGGCATGAACGCAGCATCTCACAAAGGCTTTAGTACAAAAGAAAACAATGCTGTTGTCTACCATGCATGGTCCATATTATATATCATGTACAAATAATACTATAAAATGCCTTTTTACTAGATTTAGGTTTTGGAATTGATTAAAATTGTATTATATGTGTTAATTTTATAAAGGTGTAAAATTTCTTATAAATTTCTAGCACAAAAAAAAACTGCCATTTCAAGCTTTTTGGGATATAAAAGGCTTTTATTTGCTGTAATTGATAATCAAGGTTATTCCACCCCATTTTTATTGTTTCTTTACTCTTCTAAATTTGGGGGTTTGTTTTGTTTAAATCTGAATATAAACATGTATGTAGGCATTGCATTTTTTTGTTAATTAATAATAAAAAAAAAGTATTTTAAATTTGGCACAAATGTCAAAAGTAGATTAGATAAGATTAGATTCAACTTTATTGGCGTTACACATGTACAAGTACAAGGCAACAAAATGCAGTTTAAGTCTAACCAGGAGTGCAATAGCAGCAAGCGCAGGAATGAGTTATAAAATAAATTTATAGAAAAACTACAGTGATATTTACAAATGAATGTACTATAAACATTACATACAACAATATTTGTATGTTACATATCCTGTACATGAATATCAGGATTTCTGCAGGTTTCACCAAGTTAAATTTTTAGACTTTTAAGACATTTTTAAGACCATTATGAACACATTTTTAGACTTACACAAGGCTAAATATTTATTTCCGAATATTCCAGTTGAAAAGATTTGCACTTGCCTTATCAAAAAAATATTAAAGTTTTTAATAATACAATAATAATAATTTTTTGGAATATTTTTGTTTTCATTTTTAAATATACCCATTTACAAACCCTTAAACCCTTACCAAGAATAGAACAAAACATAGCTGCCAATTACTTCAGTCTACTTTCATAATAATCTAATAATAAAAATATAAGTCAGGTCTCCTGACTCCTCAGGTATCCTCAGCAGTAAATAAATGGAGAACCTTTAAGGAAATGTTACTGTAAGGAAAACAATTAAATGCTATTTTTACATAAAAGGTAAAAGTTTTTTTGAGATGGACTGATAACGATCGTATGGGTGTTAATGGCCAGATTGTGTAGTTATACATAAACAAAGGAAAATAAGGACCTGTTTAAAAAGATTTAAGAACTACAACACAACATTTCAGTAGATTTAAGACTTTTTAAGATCCCACGGACACTCTGTATAAACATATGTATATATATATATATATCAATTTACTCACCACTCAGCCCATCAGAAATGTGTCTGACTTTCATTCTTCAAAATAATCCACATGATAATTATTTAATATTCCACTAAAATATTTATTTTCTTTTTTTACTTAAATGCACATCTTGTTGAAAAATATTTAAAAATTGTCTGTTATTTTTCTTATTATTATGTTCATAATGTATTTATCATTGGTATTATTTATAGTTTAATCTGTTGACAATCGAAAAAAAATATTGCTTAAGATGGCTAATATTATTGACCTTGGTTTTAAATATTTTTTTTTGTAGCCGAAATAAAACCAATAAAACTATCTCCAGAAAAAAATCTTATAGAAAATACTGTGAAAAATGCTATAAAAATACATAATAAAAAATAAACAAAACAAAAAAAAAAATTTATTAATGTTTTGAATTTGTAAATGTGGCCTAAATATAAATTTTGGGTTAGCATTAGATGGTGAAAAGTCCAAAATCTTATATACGAAAGGGGCCTGGCATGAGTAAATAATAAGTAATTATTTCTTTGTTTTGGGTGAACTATTCTTTCAAAGATTAAGATATGATTTGATGATCAAACAACGTGGACATGTGTCAGCTTCTGTGAACTTGAGGGAAAATTATGTATGATGTATTTTTTTTTTAAATTGGTCACACTTTATTTTGATGGTTCATTTGTTGAATTAAGTTACATTGCATCTACATGCCAACTAATTTTCATTAGATTTTAAGTAGACTCTTAGGTTGGGGTTAGGGTTAGTTAGTGTAAGTTGACATGTACTTGCAAAGTTGCTTATAGTCAGTTAAATGTCTGATGAAGGAGCAGTATCTACAAGTCTACCAATACTCAAATGGGCCATCATAATAAAGTTTTACCTAAAAATAAACTTGAAGTCAGTTGATAACAAGACATTTTGAGAAAGACTTTTCGATAAAAGAATTACATTTTTTGTATAACTAACTAATTAAACATCTAACTAAATAAATAAATGACAATTGCTGATTAATAGCCACGTTCTATAATTTAAATAAATAAATAACTAAAAAAAAATATTGAACTGCAAATATGAATCAACTTCCATAGGACATTTAAACTGGACGAAAAACAATAAAGGTGTCCTCAGACTCGATGTCTAGAAACATTCCAGCTTGACCAGCTCATGTCCTTCCGCTGTCCAGACTCTCATTCACAATCCACCAACACCCCGTGAGCAAACACACTCACACACACACACCACTTCCTTTCTCAATATGGCTCTTTCACTTCTTGCAGCCACATATCCAACCATTTATTTACTTTCACATGGAAGCTGTGCTATCTGGTTTTTTGTTTCAAGTGCGAACTTTATCAGACAAGAGACAAGCTGAGACACACGCAAGGTGCAGATTATAGCAATATTACACAACCATGTACATCATGTGTCTGATCAGGTGAGAGATTTGTATTTGGATGTTGAAATACTGCCAGAGGCAATAACACTGGAGAGATTATTAAACATCCATCCAGTTTCAGTATTAGACACTTTAAGAAAACCCTGTCAACAGTATTAAATGCTTGATTCTGATTAGATCTGATATGCTGAATCACTGCTCATGAATCATTTTTGATTATTAGTAATCCTAAAAACTTTTTTTGAAACCACAATATGTCATTCAGCATTCATTTTGGCATATTATTTAAAACACTTTTTTTTGTTCAAGACTGTATTAAACTGAATGAAAGATTTTATTTTAAATTAAAGCTGTTATTTTAAAAGTTGCATTCATGTAAAAACTCCTCAGAAGTGTTATGTATCACAGATTAGTGTTATTACGATACTGGAATTTGGTACCAATCGGTGCTTAAGTTTTTGAAATGTCCATTTCCCGCAAACATTTGAGCGTTGTTGAGCACGTTCTTAAACACTGCTGATTTGCCATTTTGTTCACGTACTCAACAGAAATGACTGTGATTGTCTGTAAAGGTCAATAGTTCACCAAACTCACTGAGTGTGATCACAGATACTGGGACACTGGAGCGTTTTAAAGCAGCGAGCACTAGCACTAGCAAAACGCTCGTATGTCAGCTCATAAACAGACCAGCTCATCTTCGTGGCTATAAAACTATAAGTGTTTGAGTATCTGTGGTTACACGCGGTGAGTTCAGTGAACTAATGATCTTCATGGCCAAGTAATTTCTGTTGAGCATGTGAACACAATGGCAAATCAGCGGTGTTTAACAATGCTCTCAACAGCGCTCATTCATTCATTATTTTTTTTTTTTTTGGCTCAGTCCCTCCATTAATCCTAGGTTGCCACAGCGGAATGAACCGCCAACTCATCCAGCACAATTTTTATGCAGCGGACGCCCATTGTGCTGCAACCCATCACTCGGAAACATCCACATACACTCATTCACACACATAGACTGCAGCTTACCCAATTCACCTATTCCACGTCTTTGGACTATGTGGGAAACCGGAGAACTCTGAGAAAACCCACACGGGGAGAACATGCAAACTCCACATAAAAATACCAACTGACCAACCGAGGCTCAAACCAGCGACCATCTTGCTGTGATATATGAATAATTCAATAAAATTATTGCTATTAAACTTACAAAAAGTATAATTTCTTATGCAGATCCTGCGATATGACTATTGTGAATGACTACATTGCAATATCGATGCTAAAATGATATATTGTGCAGCCCTACTGAGAAATAAGATTAAAAAGTTATAAAAATTACATGGTAAAATACAAGTTAATTTGATCAAATAACGCAAAGAAAATGCAATCAAATTATCCAGACAGTTGTATCACAAAGCATCCCAGTGGCCACAGACCCAATCATTGTTTCCCTTCCCTAATGGTTTGTTATCTGCAGATTTGCCAAACAGTTATAATTACAGAGTAGGTGCTTCCTCTTTCCTGAATGCTTTGTATCAATTGAAGCCCTTGTTTTGGGCAGAGCCGCTTGCTCTCCCTCGCAGGATGGGGGTTAACAGTGGTGTACATTACCTCTAATATTCCAGAGCACGCATTCTCTGATTTCAAAAGCAAAGTCGCAGCATAAAGACAATTGAGCGTGGCAGCGGCGATCGGGCCAGAGTGTTATTTATTCCCTCTTTCAAGTGAACTTGTTTCTGTGCCAGCTGTTGTGGGGACTTTACTGCGACTCATTAACGGAGGTGCGGATGGTGTTGGAGACACAGAAAGCGAGGGATAACGAGTCCTGGTGGGATTTGAAAGGAAAGGGGGGAGACGGAGTAGAAAAAAGAATTGTCCTATTCACGGCGAAGGGGGCCAAACAGCTGCTGTTTCATATCGGCCCCCTCTCTCATAATCTCCAAATTCTTAAGTCCCCTCGCTTTCCTCATGG